GGAGAGAGAGAGAGAGGGGGGGAGGGAGGCGTAACACGTCTGGACGAGATAACCAAACCGTTCTACCATCGTGAGATTTCAAGTTCTGTGCTCGGGTCGGCAAGGACGGGAGTCGGAAAGAAGATGAGTGAAGGAAAAAGGGCCTTTCCCACACCATATAAGCTGTGCACGAGAGACATCCAGTTATAGCAACAGTTGCACCGCTTGTTTGCGATACAGCTGGCTACTAAATCCTCATGCCCACTAAGACAAAGACAGACAGACAGACAGACAGACAGACAGACAGACAGACAGACAAACAGACAGACAAACAGACAGACAGACAGACAGACAGACAGACAGTCAGACAGACAGGATTAGACATAATTATTTCTTTAGCGTAAACAGACGTTATTAGTTTACTCACCATAAATAAAAGAGTAATGTTACAAATGAACGAACGTAATAATAATGTCATAGATTTTTATAGGTGAACATGTAGAAAAAGGAAAGATAAGCAATACACGCATTATGTCTTCTCGTGGAACCTGGAGAAGAATCACAGAAATCGATGTACAGAAACAATAGACAAAAGTGGAGGGTGTTTGTTCGTTGCCTATACCCTGGTGCGGGGTGAGAAAGGCAATGATGATGATGATGATGCATTATGTCTTGCTCTTTCAGATCCACATCTGCCCGCAGTATTAGAGGAAAATGACAGCTACCAGGCTCACGTGGAGGTGAACCTTATGGATCAGAACAGAACGATGGAGATAGACGAGTACCTTGATTATGATGACAATCAGGGGCTTCTAGTATTTTATGAGAATGGAATGTCGTCCCGAGTAATCTACAACTACGAAGTCAACGAAGTTTATTCCATTAAAGGTACACTCGTCAAGAAAATAAATTTATTTTATAAATTACTGTGCAAACTATTTGTGACATTTTGATCAAACTCTGAGAATGTTGGTTCGAAGAAGGAACATCGGCTCTCGGGTTTGCCCTAGGTAACCATGATGTAAGTACAACAGTGTGTCTCGCCATTACAATTTATTTACAGTAGTGGGAATGTGAGTGGGTGGTTTATTGAGAGAGAGAGAGAGGGGGGGGAGAGAGAGAGAGAGAGGGGGGGGGGAGAGAGAGGGAGAGAGAGGGGGGGAGAGAGAACGAGAGAGAGGACGAGATAGAGAGAGAGGGGGGGGAGAGAGCGAACGAGAGAGAAGACGAGATAGAGAGACAGAGAGGGAGAGAGGGAGGAAGAGAGAGGGAGGAAGGAGAGAGAGAGAGAGAGAAGGGGGGAGGGAGAGGGGGAGAGAGAGAACGAGAGAGATGACGAGAGAGATGACGAGATAGAAAGACAGAGAGGGAGAGAAGGAGGGAGAGAGATGGAGGGAGGGAGGGAGGGAGGGAGAGAGAGAGAGAGAGAGAGAGAGAGAGAGAGAGAGAGAGAGAGAGAGAGAGAGAGAGAGAGAGAGAGAGAGAGAGAGGGAGAGAGAGAGCTGGTTGTCACTACTTAAAAACAAGGCAGCCCCTTTTGGGCTTGTATCTTTTTTATCTAATCTTAAATTGTCTAAGCTAGGTATATACTGTTATCATCATCATCATCATCATCATCATCATCAATGGGAACAATGGCAATTCGAATGGATTTATTTGGATCATCACCATCACCACCAATGCCGTCGCCGTCCTCCTCCTCCTGCTCTTCCGTTATCATGTTTAAAAGACCCGAACATCACCATACTCGTTGAATCTTATTCACCACTTTTTTCTTCTCTTTCAGAATTGTCATGTGTGGTGAAAAACCTCACGACCTACCCCCTCAATTTTTTGTTTGGGTTACAACAAGGAAGCAAAAACAAGAAACACATCTTTGGAAGTGCGTCGGCTCTCAGGTTTGGCCCAGTCAACCATGATGTAAGTACAACATTCTGTCTCTACATTTATTACCCTGGTCAACACCCGTTTTGCAGCATTAGGGTTAATGTTATATTGTTCTGATCTAGTTTGGGGTTGATGGTTTCAGAAATGACATCAGTTTTTGCGTATCACGTCTTTTCAGTCACTATAAGTGATTTATCAATAGTACATGTAGTTGCATTGTTTTGCACTGTTAACATAATAAAACACAACTGTAGTTTCTCATGTAGCCCACAAAAATACAGCCAAATGACGATCCAGGGTAATCCCTAAAGACCCCGATGAACGACATAGTTGGCTTACCAAACAAACTTTTGGTTGCTGATGTCACTGAAAACATGGGAGTGTGCGCCTACACAGATTTAGCAATGTAACAAAAGGATTGAGAGAATTCAGCAGAAGGGATACAAATGTTTGAAATTTCCCCCTTTCAAAAGGATTCATCGACTGTTGGAGCCAACTAGAAGCAGTTCTGCATTTTTATGTTAATAGACGTCGCGGTGAAATCAGGTGCTCGTCAAAATAATAAAATCGAAGAAAAAGGGCAATTTTAATCAAACTTTTGGTTTTTAGTTCAACATCTTTTACGCCCATAAAAACACATTTCCTTGTAAATATTACTGGTAAAAACGTTGAAAAAAGGCTAAAAGTATGTATTCTTTTAGCTTTCAAGGATTCTTAAGCTATTGAAAATTATCAAACTTTGGCGCTCATTTTTTTGTTAACTTTACCACTGAAATCAGGCAACCTCACCTGCTTCAATGGCAAAGATTTAGACTTCTTTTCAAGATAGATTGGTATTTTTTCATTGAAGGCACGCAAATGAATACGCCTTCAGATGATACCAATACCTCAACATGCCTAAAAATTGACGAGTGACTGATTCCACTGATTCGTGACGCAATACATTTTGGAAGAAAAAGCAGGGCACAGAAAAATCTCACTGAAAAAAACCAAATGAATTAATCGGCATTTCTTTTACAGCAAAAAAAGGCGTTCACAGACATCTGTTCTATTAAAAGAAAAGAAAAAGACGAGCAATAGTTGCATTGTTGTTAGGTCAGAGAAGGCTAGATACTCCCAAGTTTCCAGTGACACCAGCCACTGGAAGTTTGTTTGGTAACCTTGAACCTGTGTTGTTCACCAGAGTCCTCGAGGAATCCGTAGATTGTGATTTTCTCCGCACTTTTTTCTCGGGCATCGCCATTAATTATTGCATACTGAAAATTTTCTTCGCATGGGTCTCTTAAAAACTATCCGGTTACACGTTGTCTAGTGTTTGCGGTCACTCGCTTGGAACACTATAGATGCGTCATGAGGGGTAATTTTATATTTTCCCAAATTTGCATTCCTAAACCGTTATTCTATCATTTTGCAGTCGAAAAACAAGCAAAAAAAATGCATTGGATAATAACAATAATCGAGTTTTCTTTACATGCGTAAGTGGCAGTTTTATCATTGGTTTTATCTTCATCGATCATTTTCTCAAAAATGTGTTTTTTGACACACATAATAATATGCTTATAGCTTTTTTTTGGTTTTTCAAGGAAATCAGATGGATCTTATTTATTGTTTGAACTTTAAGTATAACAATTTGTAAGTCGTAATTTTCATGTTTCATTTCTGAAAGTTTTTGTGGAAGAATGTAGAATGCAAATTGTATTGCACAAAACCCTTCATGATTTTTATCCAATAAAAATCAAAATGATTGTTCTATTAAAAAGATCTTCTATACATTTTAAAAATCATGTCTTGTAGTAGATCTATCTGCCTGAAAAGTTTCTACTCATTTGGTGTTTAAAAAAACAACAACAAAAAAACTAACAACAAAAACAACAACAAACAAACTAACGAACAAACAAGGAAACAAATTAACAATATTTATCTAATGTCAAAAAAAATCTAAAATAACCACTATTTTTTTAGCTATCTCCCCCCCCCCTCCCAATATATACACACATTTTTGTATTTTATGTGGCATATATCATATCCTTTAAAGAAAAGCTTCAAGCACTGAAACACACCCTAAAACAAGTAGTTTTGAATTTGAGCTTATTTACCAGCACACGCCCTTAATAAATCAACGATCTACGTCTCTTTAATGCTTAATAAACAAAATAAGCCAGCTGCTTGTCATCCACGTGATTCATGACATATACTAAAATACGAATCATTTTCCAAATTAGAACATGCTGAATGTAATACGCGACACTAGCCTAACAAAGAAGAACATTCATCACACTTCTTGTCATTGTAGCCAGACGTACAGGCCGGCCTATCGGCCCACCAATGCTCTTATACCGGGTGCCCACTGCAGGTGGACCAGATCAGGTTGGGTCAATTAATGGCAGTTACAGTACACAATACGTATAGGCTCGGTGTATTATTGAACACAAAACTTTAACGTTCACAACACAGCCATTTCCTTCCATAACGGCTTCAATTGCCGACTGCAACATACATGTATTGTCGTTACTGTGGTGAGAGGTTCTGGAATCCTACAAAGATAGTGTCGCTTGCTTAAAATAAATGTATCAGTTTCAGTTTCTCCAACTCTACACTCTGCATTACGGTATTCCACAAGCATGCTATAGCCATGCAAAAATTCGATTGTTTTATAAGGTCACGATCGAACTCGGTCGAATTTAGTAGAAGTGTGCCATGATGGTAGCTTTTGTCCTTACATGGAAGACCATCTGACTTGCCCAGACTGAATTCGACTTAATATGATTGGAGTGCACTGGGTATTACCAGTAAAGGTGGCTAGCAGGCCCATTGATACAGTAAGCATCGGAAGAGGACAAAGAGAGAAACAATAGAAAGAACACTTGGAAGCGAAGCATATGTTCATCATCATCATCATCATCATCATCATCATCATCATCATCATCATCATCATCATTGTAAACAGGAAGGAATAAAAAAGGGTTGAGACTTGTAGAATTTCCAGGAAAATTTTGTAAAGGTTCAGCGTTTCGCCCGACCACTGGCTTCATCAGGAACATACAAAATTAATGTAAGGTCTAGATTCTAATGGCCACACTAGCTATAGTAACCAAAGTGTGCGCATCTACGTCACAGTGCCAATAAGTGCGATAAACACAAATCGGAAAGACCAGAGAAAGGGGAATGCTATAGCAAGAAGTGGTATGGGTATAATTATAATATGTTATGTATAATAATATGTACCGCTATTAAGTTCTTATTATTATTAATGTAAAGGTAAAAAGCAGCAGCAGCAGCAGCAGCAGCAGCAGCAGCAGCAGCAGCAGCAGCAGCAGCAGTAGTAGTAGTAGTAGTAGTAGTAGTAGTAGTAGTAGTAGTAGTAGTAGTAGTAGTAGTAGTAGTAGTAGTAGTAGTAGTAATAGTAGTAGTAGTAGTAATAGTAGTAGAGGCATATATCTACATGTGGAAAAGAACTTTAAAAAACTTTAAATTCCACACAGGTAGGAAACTCTAGTCCGCTCGAAACGAGCTCAAAGCCGAGGTAGAAAGGCACAAGTTAACTCTGTCCGTATTTTTTCCACCCCACTGTAAAGACTAATCTTCTCCGCATTTGTTCACATCTGACATAGAAGAACATGCTAGTTTAATCACATCATCATCATCATCAGCATCATCATTATTGTTGTTGTAAGTTTGATACGAAAATAAAACAACAAAAAGTTGATGGAGACGAGTATTTCAGAATTTTGTTATAAATATATTCGAACAGCAACTGTGAGAAATTTGATATGAGAATAAGCACATAAAAAACAGAAGTCATAAAAGTTGGTCAAAATCATAGTTCCCTGAATATTCATGTCCATCACAAAAAACTAAAACGTGTCGAGAAGTTTAAGTTATATTGGGGCATTTTCTCTCGAGAAAACAGGTCCTTAGATAGGAGAATAGTAATACGAACTCAAAAGGCCAACACTGTCACGTTTCGGTTCACATTCCTTATATCTTATTCAAACATCTCAATGGGCACAAAGAAACAATTAAATCACTTCAATATCTATGCCAATATTATGCTACAAGTGCGAGACCGGGACATTAAGTAATCCCAGTGAAAGCAAAATCACTCCAGGCAGGATGAAATGTCTCCGCAAAACCCCAAAGACCACAAGGAGTGACGGGTAGAAACTTGGAAGATATAAGAGCCACCAGAAACGAATGTCACCTAGCCAGCCACGAGAGCCTATAACACCAAGCATTCAGACGCACGCTAAAGATAGATTGAGGGAAAGGGAATCCTGAAAACAATAACTTCCCGACAGTAGAGCTGAAGTGTTGGCCAACCATAGAAAACTGTATCTCTCCTAGACGCCTAGCGGCAACAGAGGGTGAAGAAATAAAAGTTAGTAAGTAAACAGTATAGCATATACTCATGGAAGAAAGAAAGTGTGCAGAGAACCAAATATTGTACTTGCAAATATTGTACTTGCCAACCAATTTTTCGTACAGGTATTGGGCAATGATAAAGATGGTATTTTATGTTTAATGTGCGCTGATGACCTAAGTCTTTTTGACGACACTGTCAGAGGTTAACAAAAGAAAATCAATATGTTATATGATTTCTGCATTATTCTTTCTAGCTATTGCTCAAGTTCATGCAACGTTTGGTGTTCTTGTCAGTTCTCGCCAAGACTGGTCTTTATCCAGGTGCATTACATGCTGCAGTGATGCAGGACGCAATCTATTCTGGAGATTAACGCGATGGATGTGTCGCTCTTGTTTCTACATTTTGATCAAAGGTCTACCACTTTTAGGTCGAACATTCGTCGTTTCAAACACCCAGACATATGGCCAAAATGTCCAGTCCAATGCTGCTTCTGTGGACATTGAGCATTTGAGCCACATTTCTCTTTGTACTTCCAGCTTGGAGCATTCCTAACGCTTGTTTTCTATCATTTTCTGACAAACGTGGCCCGTTTTACGAGTAATAGCATACATATCACTGTATTTTACGTTTTTCGATACAAACAGACGTAAAGTAAGTGAATCTTAGACTCAAGTTCTGAACAAGTGTAAAATTAATCGCATTATATGAAACCTCTTTTATGGACATTGCATTGGCTTCCGGTTGAGAGAAGAATTGTGTACAAGTTGGCCATCCTATGTCACAAACGTTTGAATGATAATGCACCATCATATTTATCAAATCTGTTAAGACTGTACTTTCCAACTCGCTGTTTAAGGTCATCAGCTGATAAAAGAAATATATTTTACCATCTATGAAACTTAAAACAATGGGTAAAAGGGCATTTGAATACCAAGGCCCCAAGATCTGGAATGTTTTACCAAGTACTTTTAAAGAGATCAAATCTTTTGATTCATTCAATGTCAGCTGAAATTGTTTCTATTTTTGAATTAATTAGATGAATATTTGGAGTGATTTTCTTTAAGTCAGAACACAACGTTTTTATGTTACTGTTGTACGCTGTACTGTATTGTAAAGCTCCCAGAGCCTGTGTACTTTAATCAGGTTTGAGCGCTATATAAATGTCATTTATTATAATTATTACATTTAGAGAGAGAGAGAGAGAAAGAGAGAGAGAGAGAGAGAGAGAGAGAGAGAGAGAGAGAGAGAGAGAGAGAGAGAGAGAGAGAAACAGACATACAGGTAGACAGACAGACAGACAGACACAGACATTGACGCACATACATACATATATGCATACACACACATACCCACATCCATCCATCCATCCATCCATCCATCCATCCATCCATCCATCCATCCATCCATCCATCCATCCATCCATCCATCCATCCATCCATCTTGTTCATCTCCGCTCCTCTTTTTTTAAACCCTTACTACCCCCCCCCTCCCCGCCCCACCCCAACCCCCATACACTCACACACACACACACACACACACACACACACACACACACACACACACACACACACACACACACACACACATACCTTTGGTGTTCCAGGTGTACAGTGGCACGGATGTAATCCGAGGGATCGACGTCAACAAGTGGTCAGTGTGTACAAACTGGACCGGGGCTGTTGGCAAGATAAGAGTCGACTATTTTTTCTCCAGTAAGAATGAATATTTGTAATGGTCATCGCCGCTACCAGTTGGCTCTAGCAGTTGACAGATGTTTGCATTAATTTGTTTGTTTGTTTGTTTGTTTGTTTGTTTAGTATAGGGTTTTACGGCGCTCGCAACTGCATAAGGTCATATGAGCGCGCGGAACACACCTAATACTTTTTCGTTGGTAGGAAATTTTGAATTTTGCCCGGGTGGCGGCCGAAGCCTACTCTTATCGATTTTAGACCACCAAGGGATCTTTAACGTGCGCAACTTGCACACGGGCCCTCCGAGATTTTTCGCCCTTGTCCGAGAAGGCTAGGTGTAGATCTTTCCTACCAGAAGACCAGGGGTGTGGCAGAAAGACAGCAGTTAGGAGGAGCCAAGGAGTAGCAGTAGAAAGGCTGCAGAAAGAGTCAGGAGCCCAGAGGAGGGGGCAAAGGAGGTGAGGGGGTGGGGGCAGAAAGTGGAAATGAAAGCAGACAACAGAACGTTGCTAGAGATCAGGAAAGGAGGTGAAAGGAGACAATTTTAGAGAAGAAAATTTTTTGGTCGCTACCCGGAATCGAAACCGGGACCTTTGAATGAGAGGCCAACACCTTACCTCTAGGCCACGAGAGCCCCCGCATTAATTTCATCCAAACTTCTTACAAGTAAAATGTAATCTTGGGGACATAAAGTTAGTTAGTAAACCTTTAATATCAAGAAAATTAATCGATGTGTTCGAAGTTAAAAAGATTTCAATTAAAAAAAATTCAACCAAACTTTGGCAAAACGCAGAATATTACTTTTTGAAAGCGTTCAGCCATAGGGGTGTGATTGACCCGTTCTTGTTTCAGAATAAGGACGGTAAGACCACGGCAGTCTCATCAGATGGATATCTCAATATGCTGAGAAAGTGTTGGAGAAGTTTAAGGAGGAGAAAGTGTTACGATGTAGAAGCCTTGTTCTAGCGGGAAGGGGCCACATCCTACACGTCACGGGTGGCTCTTGTATGGCTGCAAGACAGGTTTGGGAAACGCTTTAGGGTGCATGCAGACCAAAACCGCGAGCCGAGCTATTGCCGCTCCTCGCCACGGTGCGGTTATAAGCGAGTAGCTCTAGCGTGCACACCAAAAGCTGCGACAGCTAGATCTCACGACCGCTAGCTGTTAGTTAGCCCGCAGCTGGATGAAAGCGTGTCTGTTCACACCAAAAGCCACGTACTTAAACACATACGAGCCATATGCTAGCTAGTAGCTTGCGGTTAGTTGGGCAGTGGGTGCTACATAATGTGTAGGCCTACATCAGTTTAGTGCTGACAACATAGTTAGCACTCGAGATGAACGGCATGCCTGTTTGTTGTAACATTTGTTGGAACCATCAGTGTATCTGGCGCCTATTTTGTATAACATGTACCCATCGGGCCAACAGAAAAAGATCCCATGCCCAGTGCCATTTTGATGTAAACAGCTATACTCATCACACTAGTATGTTCATAACTGAGTTGAAACTACAGAGGAAGTGTCTAGGGTGAGACAATAAACTGCATTCTGTCTTGAGGGCGCGATGTTAACTGCATACCCGTCATCATAGGCAGTATACCTGACGTTAACACGTCCTTTCCTTATTTTTTTTCTTTTGTCCAGCAACCAGTTCCTGGTTTCCTGTTCTTTTCTCCTGCCGTGGTGCTTAAATGATCTGTGCTTATGTCGATGGAATCATTAAACCCAAAACTAAAAACAAACAAAAAACCAAAACATTTTCTTGCCGGATTGACCCTGTCTTCAGGGAATTCACGAAATCAAAACACCGGCTAAAGCAGTACTCCTTTAGTCCAACACTGTCCATAGGGCTCGTTGATTCATCATCATCATCATCATCATCATCATCATCATCATCAACATCATTGTAAACAGCAAGAAAAAAAGGGTAGAGACTTGTAGAATTTCCAAATTTTATAGGGGTTCAACTTTCATCATCATCATCATCATCATCATCATCATCATCATCATCATCATCATCATCATCATCATCATCATCATCATCATCATCATCATCAGAAAAGAAACAAAAGCAACAACAAATTAATAGTAGGTTCTGCCGAAAGCAGCATCAGATTTTGAAAAATGACCATAAACACAGTGGTATAACAGGAAAAAGGTATATGTAATATTTTACGTTGGGTGAATTTATTCAGTGCGTGGAAGTGGAAATTATGATAAGCGCGACCCGATAAGCCTATTTTTAGATCTGACTTCGTCGGAAGATCATGGTCACGGCGAGGCTCGATTTGAGCGGCGATAAATACCCAGATATTTTCCGCCGCTCGTACCAAGCCGTACGCGAGCATGCGGAGCGAACCCATTCTTTTCGTGTGCACACTCTATAGTAAAGAGACAATATTTTCGCGGCGTAGCTACGATTCAGGGGCGAACTGTTTCACGGAGACTGTCCCTGTAATAGCACTATCGGTTGGTATTTGGCATCAACTGGCTTGATGTCTGGGACTCCAGTGTGTTGGACACAAACACAGAGGAGTGATACTAGTTGTCCCAGTGTTGTTGTTGTTGTTGTTGTTGTTGTTGTTGTTGTTGTTGTTGTTGTTGTTGTTGTTGTTGTTGTTGTTGTTGTTGTTGTTGTTGTTTGTGTAGTAGCCTATCCCTTCGGAATGTTTGGAGCCCCGAAGAGCGTGCTCTTCTCCAGGGCCACGACTCTCCTGGGTAACGGGTGAGGCAGTCCAACCTGACCATCATCATCAATGATTTATTTATAGAGGCACAAGCCATCCATGTCCAGGTGCTGTTTTAACCTGCAGTCCAACCTCCCTGAATCCTTCCCAAAGAGATGCCACCACCGGACCTCCGTGGCGGGGCATCTCTGTTGCCAGAGCTCCAAATCTTGGGGCTCCTCGCTGCACAATGGACTGATTGAGACCAATCTTTTGTCTATTCTATTTTTGTAGGCCCACAGCCCAGAGAAGTGACCATTCCTGATTTTTGCCAGTAGTGACTGGTCGCCGCGGGACTTAATTTGAGCCTCCCGTTTTAAGGACATTCCCCTCTATATTTACTTTGTCCGCGCATGGGATATCGGAGGGTCTGTTGTGATCCGTTTCATCTGAGCGCATACACTTTCATATGCGATTTGGTGTCCAGAGCCCGACAGCGCTGTTGCCTGTTTGGCATTACTGTCAGCGAGATTGTAGCCGAGGATCTCGCAGAGACCAGGGATCCACTGAATCATGGGTTTAGGTGTTGTATCATTTATGCGTGGTCGCCTTTGGATGAGGGATGGGGATGTTCCTACTTGTGCCATACATAGCGATTGACTGTCAGTAAAGATAGCGACCGAATTGGATGCATCACACTGTTTGTCGATCCAGACAATAGCCATTTCTAAGGCCCCCCTCTCTTCCCCGAAAGAGCTCGTGAATAGAGTGCCCTTCTCCCTCAGTGTCTCGACAACGGTCGGGTTGGACAGGTCCCCCGTTATGATGACGACCCCAGACCGCCATCCGTTGTTCCTGCTCTAGCCGAACCGCCACGGTAGATATTGTACTGTGCACTAAGCTCTCGTGCGCGACAATGAGCAGCGCTTCGGATTTTCACACCGGAGTCACTCCTTCCGCTTATGCCGTACAAGTGGGTGAAAACGATATCGGGGTTGATTCCCCGTTCCCACGGCCTTGTTTTGAAATAGGTAATGGGCCTCCTCTCGCAGTTGAACAGATGTGGGCTCTTTTTGCTGAGTTCTTAGGCCATTTTTCGGAAATATGGGTGAGGTAGACCTTGCGTAGGTCGTCTTTCCTCCATCCTCATTTTAATTGGGTGACAGCGCCGAGCATCCTAATTTTCTGTGTGGCCTTAGCTATTGCTGTCTCAACCTGTTTGCTGAACGTTAGCCTGCGGTCGAGTGTGAGTCTTGCGTGGGGTTTATACTTAATTGTCGAATTATTGATCGTGATGCATGGCTTCCATCCCGAGTCAGATGTTGCGAGCGTGAAGAATGTAGTCTCGCTCTTCGAGCCGTTTAGCGTGAGTTTCCATCACGTACTCCAGTCAGCAACGGTGTCCATCGCTCTTTGTGCCAGACTTTCAGCGTCTTGTGCCATGTGTGATGAAGCAAGGATAGAGACGTCGTCAGCGTAGAGCGAAATTATGAGATCATCCGGAAGTAGTTACGCCAGTTCGTCGATATAAAAGAGAAAGAGGATGGATGCCAGGACAGAACCCTGTGGGAGGCCTTGGCTCATTTTCCTGTTCCTACTCAGTATTCCGTTGAATCAGACTCTGGCTTGACGATTTCAAAGGAAGTCATTCAGCCATAGAACGTATTTATCTGGGATACCTCTGTGTAGGAGGGTGTGAAGTAGGCGTTCGTGCCAGACCATTTCGTATGCCTTTGAAAAATTGAGGAGGACGAGTACCGATTTTTCCTTCTTTTGGAAGCCATCGGAAATCTTCGGCGTAATTCTCAGGATTTGGTCTTCCACGGCTCTTCCCTTCCTGAAGTCAGCCTGCAGTTCGGAGAACCAGCCGTTCCGCTCGGCCATGGCGTACAGTCGTTCAGTTACCATTCTCCCCATAACTTTGATGACACAGGATGTGAGGCTTATCGGTCTAAACGACGTTAGTTCCGATGCCGGTTTGGCGGTCTTGAGGAGGGGCATATTGATTGCGTCTTTCCAGAATTAAGGGAGCGAAATGACATGTTGAAGATGGAGAGCAGTTTCTCAAGCGCTTTGGGACCCAGGTTTTTGAGGAAAGACATAGGAATGTTGCCTCTTCCGGGTGATCCTCAGGACTTCATCTTTGCGATGACATTCCTCAGTTCCGCGATAGGGAAATCGGATTGGTCTGCTCTTGGGTTTTTCAGTAAGCATTTTAGCCGCTGTTGTTGTTGTTGTTGTTGTTGTTGCTGCTGCTGTTGCTAATGTTGTGGTGTGGTTATTGTTGCTGTATCAGTAATGCAAACGCTTTTTGCTCTTCAATCAAAATCGAAAAACAGTTATCATATGTAGACTTCC